TTACCTTTGGGGAGGTTCAAGGATGGAAAAAGATCTGGGGGTCCTAGTAGATCACAGGCTCAGCAATGGCATTCAATGCCAAGCTGCAGCATACAAAGCAAGCAGAATATTATCATGCATAAAAAGGGTATTTACTCAAGGGATAAATCTATAATTCTACCATTTTACAAGACTCTGGTTCAGCCATATCTTGAGTATGCTGTCCACTTCTGGTCACCAGTCCTCAGAATGAAGGTTCTGGAGTTGGAGAGAGTCCAGAGAAGGGCGACACAGCTAATAAGAGGACTGGAGGACCTCAGTTATGAGGAACAACTACAAACATTAAACCTATTCTCCCTGGAGAAGAGACACTAGAGAGGAGATATGAAAGCGATACACAATTACCTCAGTGGTGATTTCTGAATAGGGAGGAAACTATTCAGTTCAGGAAGCTTAAGAAGACATGCGGCCACTCATTGAAATTGGAGGAGAAGCGGTTCAATCTTAAACTGCTCAGAGGGTTTGTTACTGTTAGAGCGGCAAAGATGTGGAACGTCCTCCCACAATCAGTGGTGTCAGAGAGAAGTGTCAATAGTTTCAAAAAAACTCTTAGATAGGCATTTTAGTGAACAAAATATACAGGGATATGGGAAATGGTATTGATCTAAACACGCAAACATACACACACTTACACAGGTTGAACTAGATGGACTGATGTCTTTATTCAGCCTTACCAACTATGTAACTATGAAAGAAGTACAATATGTAGGTGGATTTTCCCTTTAGAGGTATGACTTTTCTAAGAAAATGTTGTATACAGCTACAGGGACATTTAAGCATGGAATGTGCTAGAAAAGGGTGTCTCTTTAAAGAGTCATAGCTTGCCTACTATTTAATCTCTTAACGGCCTTTTGAATCAGTTGAAATGTCCCATGACTCAAAGCAATGTACTGTGAGAGGAAGCATTTTGACACACAGTGTCAAAGACCTATAGCCGAGAAATGTACAGTAATAGTCTTGGAATGTTTGCAAAGAGCACACTAAGAACAGAAAAAGATATCAATTGCGATATACTGTACCATCTCACAAACCCTCACTTCTAACAGCAGTCATCCATCCCACAAATTCCTAAACATTAAAAACAAACTACCATAGATTAAGGAACACTATATGGAATTCATACATTCCACTTATACATAAATAGTACATTCCTCCCCTCCATGGGCAAAAAAAATTGATATGCACAGGACCAGATTGATACTTCCTGACCCCCCCCAGCCAGCGGTCAACACCCCCCCCCCCATCACACAAACTACAGTCAAGTGGCTACTCCAATTTTCAGTTCATCAGATCAGAAGTCTAAACCACAAAAGCCACACAGACCACACAGATGGAGGCACAGAAGCAGAAGAGACCATTTGCCCACTTTGTATCAATACATTTTGAACTGACAGAAGAATAGAGCAATCTCCTGTCCTGTACTATTAGCAGTTAAGTTCTGTGTTTACAGGACCAGAGCACACAAAGATAAACCCCAGAATGAACTATTAAAAAAAAAATGTGTACAAACACAAGGACAGTTTCAATGAGTTCCTAGCTGGAATGTATAGTCAGGTGCAGTTAGCTTTCCCACCTGTGGGTGGCCTAGTGCCATTATTGCGTGGGGAGGGGGGCCTTGTATTGGAATTGGTCTTTTAGAGACTTTGTTAAGTGCCTTGAGAAAGGAAAGTAGTCTGGTTGGATACAGAACTTGTGAAAGACTTTGGTGGCCATCTTGAGTGAGGAGACCTTTTAAATAAGGCACCCCTAGTAATTTTCAGGACACTTCTAGTGAGTGGATGGATAGGGACAGGAACCTGCTTGTGAGGCAAAGAACTAAGCACAGGGAGATGTTCCAGGCAAGGAGGGATAGTTTAGGGCAGGCTGCTTCTGCACAACATACACTCTCATATTGAAGCATAGAGCTTGTGCAGGCTGCTGAATTATCCTGTGTATTCCAGGAAAGTGCAATACCCACGCTAACTGAAGCTATCCAGTACTACACCTGACTATATACTGAAACTGTAGATACTCTGTATCACTGTTGTATCACTACCCCCTTAGGAGTTGCAAAGATTTCGGGTCTATAGCCCTACATAGCCAAGCAACACATATTTTCATGCAGACTTGCATCCAGGAATCAGAGATCAGTCCTTGAGCTTTTTTGTGATTTTATTAGGGGGATTTGAACTGGAATAGGATTAGGGGTGTACAGGATGCCCAATGGAAACGATGAACTGAGGACAACTTCCTGGAAATGTTTACAGGCCTCTACTGCAACACAGTCTCTGTTGGAGAGCTAGCCAGCGTCTCCTATTGTGCTACCCTAGAACCTAGATAAGCTCTTCCTTTACCCAGCTGTCTGGAGGTATCCCTGAGCAGGGGATGCAGTGCCTGTCACTTTAAGAGATTAGACAGTCCCAGTAGGTGACAAATCTGGTTTCCCACCAGAGTGCTCCTTTCCTTATCTGGCCCTGGGGTTGCAGGTGTACTCACTCAGTCCGTCTCCAGTGTGGCTGGTGGGTTGGTGGCTGCTACCAGGCCTTCTAGCTAGGCTGCTCCTCCCCTACTACACAGATGGTTCTTGCTCTGGGGGCCAGTGAGGGTCTGAGTTTTCATCCTTCCCAGGTCCACTGCCTGTAAGTGAACCCCTTTCTCCATCTGGGCTCCCTCCCAGGCTCCTGCCTTCAGCCTCACATCTTCCTCCAAAGTTCTAGAGCAAGAGGAAATTCCAGAGGTCTGGTCTGCAGAGCCTTTCAGCTCTGACCAAAGTTTGACTCCTGCTAGCTATCACACCTTGACTACTCAGCCTTCCTAGCTAACAAGCAGGCTCTTAGCTCCCCCAAGCTGGCTATGACTGTGCTCCATTGTATACCTGTGCCAAGAACAGTTTGCTCAGAACTTATGTAAAGGATATCAGTGTGCTATCTATTATGTAAGAGTGATTCCTCCCAAACATCGTACCCATTATAGACCTCACTTACAAATGCATCAGCAGGCAGGGCAGCAATCTGGACCTTTGTTAGGCCCCATACACACCGGGCACCTAGCCCCTGGGCATCCAATCCTGAGGTTTAGGTGGCCCAGGAGGCACAGGTGCCATATTCTGATCTGCTGCTAGCAGCCTGTAAAAGTCTATGACAGGCTGATATGTGTTGGGCTGTATGGGGCTGAACTTTGTACCAAGTGATACTCGAATCTAGGGCTATGTGTATTCCAGGACAAATGCTCGGAGCACAGATGTTCTGCCATATACTTTGACAGGCTGCAGGCAGCAAGGCTGAATGCTGCACCTGTGCCTTCTGGATGCACTAAATGCCAGGACATGAAGCCCAGTGTGCAAAGGGCCTTACCAATAGCCAATCACATCTGTGGGTAGTTGTGTGCCACCAAAAACTTGGCCTATGCTGGCTATGCAGAAATCTGCTCCTGAATATGCATCATACTGAAGACCGTACACTGTACACTATGACAAAATCTGTAGAGCCTGTAATATGACTTCAGGTTTTTACCTAAATGATCTGGTCAATGTTACAACTATTAGTCATTTAATATTGATGATAAACACTAGGCTGTTGGCATTAAATTCACTCAGACAACATTACATAGCTACCCTGCCATTCCCCTTGTGCAGGGTGCTGGCTTTGTGTTTAAGAAAATACATGCCAGTAGTCCACTGGTTTGTGCACCACTGGTCACAATAACATACAGTATATGCGTTGCAGTAATGTGTAGTATAATGTGTGATACCACAACACATGTTATTGTATGAGTATACCGTATGTGCCTTACTGTGCTCTGGCATTCAGTGTGACTGGCACCCTAATGACATTTACAGGGCAACATAACAGGCACCCTAATGACATTTACAGGGCAGCATAACATTATCATGCACAGAAGTGCATTGTGGTATGCTACATTCACTGTTAATTTTGAAGCCAAATTTCAGTTTTGTTTTAGTCATAGTCTTTTGACTAAAATGCCATTTTAGTTTTAGTCATATTTTAGTAACTTGAATTGTTTTAATTTTAGTCGACTAAAATCTCCAGTACATTTTACGCAGCTAAAATCTCAAGTACATGTTAGTTGACTAAAATCTCCAGTAACACCGACTCAGCGTAGCAGGAATGTGTGATGAGTGGGTGGGGGGGGCATATTTAGAAAAATTAGATGGGAGTGTGCAGTATACTTTTCGGGGATGGGAAGGTGACTTGAAAGTGGGGATGGGGAAGTAAATGGAAGTGAGGGAGTGCATAGGGCAGGGTGCTTTATACTTTGGGGATGAGGAGCTGACCTGCAAGTGGGGATGGGGAAGTAAATGGGAGTGAGGGAGTGCACAGGGCAGAGAACTGGACAGTCTGGGGAGGCTGTCATATTACACAGTGCTAAGCACTGCTACCTTGCTGGGAGATGAAACACTCACTGCACCACATCCAGCCTGACATGAATCTAAATAAAGAATTCCTCTGTGGTTTGCAGGACGTTGTTCCAGAACTCCCAGGCAGCAGGCAGACAGAGGGAGCCTGTGTCTCTCAGCTAATACAGCTTGACTGATAAAGTCAGGGGGCTAGGGCTTTAACAGACAGGAAGAGCTCCAAGGAAAGTGCAAGTTTAGGTGGATAAATGTCCCTCCCTCACATTTTTGTTCTGTTTTTGTTCGTTGGTGAAAATACTAATTTTCATGATAGTTTTTGTCAATTGACTTAATTCTAATGTTATTTTCATTTAGTTTTCATCACTGAAATTATACAGCTGATGAAAACAATGATGAAAATATTTTTGGCAACTAAATTAACACTGGACTAAAATTAGAATTGATTTTCATCAATTGACTTTATTCTAATTTTATTTTTCATTCAGTTTTGAGCACTGAAAGCATGCAGCTGATGAAAACTATGATGAAAATTAAAGCTTGTAGAAGGAGTTTTCATTCTCCTCTGACTGTTCTATGAGGTGGTGTTGATTGGCCATGTGCCGATCACATGCACCCTCCCAAAAAGAAAAACTCTATAGCAATACATACCAAACAGATCATCTGCAGACTTACCACTACTGCTCCAACAATGGCAGATGGATTGGGGACAGTAGAAGAAGGGGAGGTTTAGATAAGACAGGATCAAACAGACTTTTTACACAATGTAGAAGATTAACCCCTTAGGTTCCACAGTCAGTATAACAAGCACACTTTAGTGCATATACAGACTGGTTTTACTGTTGTTGGTTTAGTAACACATTAACCACATAAATGCCGCCCTATAGCAGATATACTGCACAAAATCACATATATATATACGTATATTTCCAGGTAAGGGGCGCGCGCGAGCCACCATTTGCAGTCGCGGCTGTCAATCAGTGATTACCCGCCGACACCTGATGAATACCAAGGATCTCTGATGGGGAGGAGGGCTGCTTTGTTTACTAACACTCCTCCTCCCTGTCTACTCGGGCACACTGCTCTAGATGGCTATGCACAGCACAGCCATCCAGAGCAGTGTCCTTACAGTGAAGCACCAACACACCACCCCCCAGTACAACACTCCCAGCACACAGATAACCCTTTGATCGCCCCTTATGTTAACCCCTTCCTGCCCATTAGTACAGTGTCAATGCTTTTTGTTAGCACTGATCACTGCATTGGTGTCACTGGGGATGTCAGTGACTCCAAGTCAGTTCCCCCCAGTGTCAGAATGCCCACCGCAGTCCCGCCATAAGTCGCTCATCACTGCCATTACAAGTAAAAAAAAAACAAAATTCCAGTATCTATACCGCCATTTGTAAACTCTATAACTTACACGTAAACCAAATTAATTTACACATATTGGGATTTTTTATTAGCAAAGATGTGTACCAGAATACATTTTGGCCTAAATTTTGGACGAAAATTTTATTTTTTAAATTTTTTTACTGGACATGTTTAATAGCAAAAAGTCAAAAATATTGTTTTTTTCTCAAAATTGTTGGCCTTTTTTTTTAGAGCGCAAAAAAATTAAAACCGCACAGGCGATCAAATACCACCAAAAAAAAAGCTCATTTTGTGGGGAAAAAAGGACGTAAATTTAATTAGTGTGCAGCGTTGCATGACTGCGCAATTGTCAGTTAAAGTAATGCAGCGCCGTAACACAAAAAATGGCCTGGTCAGGAGAGGGGGGGATCCTTAGGAGGGCAAGTGGTTAATACAATGCACATTAATGCAAAACAATACATGTTAACACACCGCAACAATGGATATGGGCCCTTTTCTGAGACCACTGATGCGCTTCTCAAGAAATGTAGAGCATGAGATGAAGACTGCACAGTAAAGGAAAATGTGACAATAAGTTTCACTCTATACCAGAAGCATTTGAAAAGAGTGGTCAACCTAGCTGCAAGTAATTGTAAAAACGACCGAATAAAGACGAACAGAGCAGATTTTCTGATGCTTCTGATGCAGTTTGTTGATTTACAATTATATGGTGCTTTCCCTGGCATCATCATCATTCAGGCCTGATCAGTCTAGACCAGTGTTTCTTAACCTTTTTTCAGTCAAGGCACCCTTTAAAATTATGGACATTCCCGAAGCACCCTTTAAAATTATGGACAGTCCCGAGGAACCCTTTAAAATTATGGACAGTCCTGAGGCACCCTTTAAAATTATGGACAGTCATGAGGCACCCTCTAAAATCATGGACAATCTCGAGGCACCCTTTAAAATCATGGACAGTTCTGAGGCACCCTTTAAAATTATGGACAGTCCCGAGGCACCCTCTAAAATCATGGGCTGTCCCGAGGCACCCTTTTAAATCATGAACAGTCCCAAGGCACCCTTTGAAATTATGGACAGTCACGAGGCACCCTTTAAAATCATGGACAGTCCTGAGGCACCCTTTAAAATTATGGACAGTTCCGAGGCACCCTTTAAAATCATGGACAGTCCTGAGGCACCCTTTAAAATTATGGACAGTTCCGACGCACCCTCTAAAATCATGGACAATCTCGAGGCACCCTTTAAAATCATGGACAGTTCTGAGGCACCCTTTAAAATTATGGGCAGTCCCGAGGCACCCTTTTAAATCATGGACAGTCCCAAGGCACCCTTTGAAATTATGGACAGTTCCAAGGCACCCCATTCTAAAATGTGAAAACTATTCTAATAGATTTATATACGTAACACACCAACATTCACACACATAGGACACCCAACATTAGAGGTGATTTATTCTTTCAGTGCAAATACACTTTTGCCCACCAATACTGACTAGTATTCCAATGTTTCTCTTCTCCATCAGTTGTTCTCCATCACTGAGCTAATGTGACCCCAGCACTGATGGAGAGGGGCAGGGGAGGGTCAAACTAGGATGCCGTGCAGACAGCTGACATCCTCCTTATCAACTGATGATGTCATTGGTTGTCAGGACACTGGTGGTTAGAAGGTTGTAATGGTGCACAGTGAAAACCTGTGGCTTTGTGTGACTAAAAGGCAGCCAATGGCTTTTATACAAGTTTTGGGCAGTTTTTAGACATTTTGCCAAGGTCCCCCAGAAGAAACCTCAAGGCACTCCAGGGTGCCTGGGCACCCCGGTTGAGAAAGGCTGGTCTAGACCACTGAGCTCTGTTTAGTTGGTGTGTATAAATGAAAGAGTCAGTCCTTCCAAAATTGATGTTTAACCACTTTCCTACCGGGCACTTATACCCCCTTCTTTACCAGGCCAATTTTCAGCTTTCAGCGCTATCACACTTTGATTGACAATTGCGCGGTCATGCAAGATTGTACCCATATGAAATTTTTTTTCATTTTTTTTCTCACAAATAGAGTTTTCTTTTGGTGGTATTTAATCGCCGCTGGGCGCTTTACGGTTTGCGCTATAAACAAAAATTGCAAAAATTAAAAAAAAAATTATTTTTCTTTGTTTCTATTATAACATTTTTCAAACAGGTAATTTTTCTCCTTCACTGATGTGCGTTGATGAGGCAGCACTGATGTGCACTGATAGGCGGCACTGATGGGCACTGAAAGGCAGCACTGATAGGCAGCACTGAAGGGCACTGATAGGCGGCACTGATAGGCAGCACTAATGAGGTGTCACGGATAGTCGGCACTGATAGGCCGAACTGATGATGGATACTGATAGACAGCACTGATAGGTGGCACTTATTGGCATCACTGCTGGGCACTGACTGGCGGCACTGCTAGGCATTGACTGGCGCAACCGCTGGGTAATGACTGGCAGCACTGCATTGATGGGCACTGGTGGGTGGCACTGGTGGGCACAGGTGGGTGGCACTGGTGTCACAGGTGGGGTGGCACAGAAGGGGGGCACTGCTGGGCACAGGTAGGTGGCACTGCTGGGTGGCACTGCTGGGCACAGGTGGGTGCACTGCTGGGCACAGGTGGGCGGAACTGGTGGGTGGCACTGCTGGGCACCGATCATCAGGGCACTGATCATCAGTGCTCTGATGATCAGTGCCGATCCCTGCTCTGAGAACTGCCAGTTCTCGGCAGTAATTTCCTCGCGCTCTGACAGCGTGAGGAAAGTGCAGCCGAGAACCGGCAATTGCATTTCCCGGTGATCAGCGTGTCATTGGACACGGCTGATCACGTGGTAAAAGGCGGCTGAAAATGCTGCGCCTGCCTTTCTCTGATCTGATCCTTATGTTAGGCTTTAAACTCTGGCTTCTGGCTTGTAGTCACTTTCTGGTTTCTGCTTTCTTGGACCTTGACCTTGCTCAGTTTGCTCAATTTGGTTGGTCCTCATTATGATTCAGATTGGACTTCAGAGATAAGTGAAGGCAAAACTTTTTTTTTTAGGTTTAGCAGGATTAGAACACCTGTCAAGTTTTTATTGCTGTCCCCATCGCCGTTAGGAAGATTCAGCCTATCTATTTGTCCTGGTGACCGTTATCACCAAGACTGAAAGTGAAAGAAAATCTCAAGGAATAGAGGGAACTCTTTTGATGGGGACCAGGGATTCTCTCCACTTTGCTGGGATTTCCTCCCACTTTCCATTGTGGCTACGTGATAGGAAGTGAAGGGAAATCTCCCCAGTGGGACATAGATGGCAAAACAACTTGCATGGGATATAACCATCCCTTACTCTCTCCAAAATGAAAAAGAAAACATTTACCTTTAGTTTTTATTGTTTAGTTTAGCCTTCTGTCTGCTGCCTGCTCTGACCTTTTGATTGACTATAGACTGCTATGCAATTCAGAGTGCCATGCTCCTAGGAGTTGTTTGCAACCAATTCCATACATACCATCAGAGGCACTGGTGAAAACCAGATATGTCTACAAATTAAAGCCCATCTCTGGGCAAAAAAAAAAAAAAAAAATTCACATACAGTGGGACTTTACCCGTACTCCACGAGTTAAAGTGTTACTAAACCCACAACAATAAAATCAGTCTGCATATGGAGTAACGCATGCTTGTTATACTCACTGTGGAACCTAAAGGGTTAATCCTCTGCATTGTGTAAAAAGGCTGTTTGATCCTGACTTCTCTGATACTCCCCTTCTTCCAGTGTCCCCCTCTTATCTTCTGATAAAACATAGTGTGGAGTCACTCTGCACATGCTCAGTTTGGTGTGTATTGCTAGAGAGGGTTTTTTTTTTCTTTAGAGACTGCATGTGATCAGCACAGGGCCAATCAGGACTGTCCAGACAGAGGTCAGGGGTTTTGCATACTCGTAGAGCAAAATGAAAACTCCTCCTACAACCTTTAACTAGTGCTCTGCTGGACACTGATAGAAGTCACAAGACTGCTCTATGAGAAAAGGTATTTAGCAGTTTAAATCTACTAAAATAATTGCATTACCATGTTCTGTGCACTGTGGGAGACCAGATATAGTGAATGCAGGGTCCTGGGTTTAGTAACACTTTAGGTTGCTCTTGGATTTTTACTTTTGTCTGTAGTAATTTTGAAAAACTGTTTACTTGTTTCTTTACTATCACACTCTGTAGCAAAACCACAGAATAGAGAGAGGAAATGACTGGCAGGCCTCTCTTCATTTCTCTTCTTCATTTTTGTCTAGAGGACAGGTGTAAGAAGATATACATTACTTAACTAATCCTCCAATCTTCCCAGCACAAGTGGCTCCTGTCCCCCTGCAGTCTAGTGGTCTTGTTAGAAGGATAGTTACTCAGTCTAGAGTGGGCTAAATAGACCAGGAACTGTCCACTGCTGGACCGTGGGGGAGCGCCGTTTTCCAGTGTAACAAAGGATCGGGTGAATATAAGCTTTCTCCTCATCCCTAGATAAAACGAGCAGTTGACCCGTGCAGTGCGGACACAGCCTGAATGCATGGGAAAACTTTTTTCTTGCCTGATGTTGGGCTTTCATGTGTTGACCTGAGCCTGTTATAACAAGCTTGTGACAGAGAGGATCCACTGTAGCTCTAGGACAGCCATGGCTTTGTTTCTGCCCACGGTGCATTGCTCTGTGTTTACATCCATCTACTGGTGTTCTCGCTGTTAACAGTTAAATTGCGAAGCAATAGTGCTCTACCAGGCTGCTTTTATTAAAGTAAATGACCGTAACTCCACAGTACACACGTCTTTTGGCCAACTTTGGGAGTTGGTGGTGCAAAGTAAAAGATAAGTAAGATAAAGTAAAATATAAGCTATTTAGCATCACATAGCATGATAATCCACAGTACGTTACTTACAAGTCTCTTGGCAGCCCCTGTCTTAACTAGTCTGGGATATACTGTATGCTTTTTTTGTGCTCTGTTAAAACAATGCTGTCCCAAGATGACATTTTAGTGACCAGTAAATCACGCCCTGCAAACCAATCAACATATATTCTTTTAGGTCAACACTATAATCTGGATTTTCCTCTAAAACACAAAGCTAAAGCTAAAGCTTTCTTGCCGTCTGTGTCTCTACAGTACAAATCAAGGCTGCGAGGACAAAGCACATGGCAGTTTGTACTACTGTACAAGATTAACAAGAGAAACAGGAAGAATAAAGAATACATTTTAACTAAACGTATTAACATTTTAAATTAAAAAGTGATAAGGTCACAGCTTCCTGACAGATAATAGCCCTGATGACCAGTTCAGTACAGTGCTATCTTACAACAGTATTGTTGTGAAGATTCCATAATAACACCAGTCATATTGATAAAAACAGAAAACTGATATTTTAAATGAAAGCTAAATACTAAAGTGTCTGACTAGGAATAGGGATAAATGTTCAGTTCAAAGAAGCGAAAGGGGGACATAACTGAAACCTTTAAGCTTACCATAGATGGATCGAAATGCAGACGGTTGAGCAAAAACCGGCCAAACTTTGATCCTTCTATGGGCAGGTCGGTTGTACAAAAGTCAATCTATCGATCAACTTCAGTACAATCATCTGGTTGGGTACAACCAGCCCATGGTTGAAGGAAAGGAAAGTTCATAATCTATGACCAGCCCTAGGCTTCATATACGGGGGTGCAATTGCCCATGCACAGCATATTTCTGCTGCCCAGGATTTCCTGGAGTTACGTACAGTCGTCCATAGATATGAATGGGTAAAGGCAGCTCTATGTGCCATTATCAGTGTAGAGTAGAGCATGCGCACAAACATAATGTCCCGAACGCACATTACCTGCATTCAGGACATTACGTCTGTGCACATGCACTACTTTGTGTTATTAGCAACACATAGCTGCATACAGTTGCCTCCACCTATTCATGTCTATGGGTGGCAGTACGCAGCACTATTACAACTCGGGCACCAAAATACGTAGAAAGTTTACGCGGCAGTGGCAAATGCATCCATGTGCATGTAGCCTTAAAAGAGAAGTATGGACTTAAAAAAAACAGTTATACTCAACTAGGCCATCAGATCGATGCTGCGCTACTGATTGCTCAGTTCTCCCTCCTGCTTAGAAGCAGAGAGCCATAACCGTCAGTCACCGGCTCTGTGCTCTGCCTCTCCAGAGCTCACTTGAGCTCTGGGCTGTGGGGGTGGCGGTGGGGCTGGCTCAGGCTCTTGGAGGATTTGCTCAGTTCTCCCTCCTGCTTAGAAGCAGAGAGCCATAACCGTTAGTCACCGGCTCTGTGCTCTGCCTCTCCAGAGCTCACTTGAGCTCTGGGCTGTGGGGGTGGTGGTGGGGCTGGCTCAGGCTCTTGGAGGATTGCGAAGAGGCTGACCCAGCTGCCGGTCCAGGCTTCTGGGTGGATCCTGACCATATGCTCGGGATTGTTGGGCTGTGGGGGTGGAGCTAGCTCAGGCTCTAGGAAGATTGCAGAGAGGCTTACCCAGCTGCTTGTCCAGGTTTCTGGGTGGATCCTGACCATATGGTCGGGATTGCTGGACTGTGGGGGTGGTGGTGGGGTTGGTTCAGGCTCTAGGAGGATTGCGGAGAGGCTGACCCAGCTGCCGGCCCAGGCTTCTGGATGGATCCTGACCATATGGCCGGGATCGCTGGACTGTGGGGGAGGTGGTGGGGCTGGCTCAGACTCTAGGAGGATTGCAGAGAGCCTGACCCAGCTGCTAGTCCAGGCTTCTGGGTGGATCCTGACCATATGGTTGAGATGTTTTCAGAGCCTGGCCCAGCAGAGTGATGTGTCAGCCAACAGCAGACTTTAACCCGCTGTCAGCTGAATACGGGTCACAGAATGAACTAGAGGAGAAGTACAGTCAAAATATCTCTGGCTATACTTCTTTAAATACATTTAGAGTGTGAAATAGGTTCAGGAGGGCAGCATTTTCAATATTAAGCTAAGATCAAGAACACAGGGGCATGACCTCAAACTGCAAACTAATATTTCACCCAAAAGAATAGTTAATGCTTGGAACAGACTTCCAACAGAGGAAGTCAATCAGTAGTAAGTGAATGTAACCACTTCAATACTTGGTACTTTCAACCCCTTCCTGCCCAGGCCAATTTTCAGCTTTCAGCGCTGTCGCACTTTGAATTGCAATTGAGCAGTCATACAACACTGTGCCCAAATACAATTGGTATAATTTTTTGTTTGAGACAGATAGTGCTCTTTTGGTGGTATGTATTCACCACTAAGTTTTTTTAATTTTTGCTAAACAAAAAAAAAAAAGACTGAATTTAAAAAAAAAAAACCTTTTTCTTTGTTTATGTTTGAATTTTGCAAATAAGTAATTTTTCTTCTTTACTGATGTGCGCTGATGAGGCTGCTCTAGAGGGCACTGATGAGGCTGCATTGATCACCACTAATGAGGCTGTACTGATGGGTACTAATAAGGCTGCACTGATGGGAACTGATGAGGCAGCACTGATGGGCACTGATAGGTTACACTGATGGGCATTGATAGGCTGCACTGATGGGCACTAATGAGGCTGCACTGATGGGTACCAATGAGGCTGTACTAATGGGCGCTGATGAGGCAGCACTGATGAGGCGGCACTGATGGGCACTAATAAGCTGCACTGATGGGCATGGATGAGGCTGCACCGATGGCGGCACTGATGGGCACTGATAGAAGGCACTGATGGGCA